GTGTTAAGAACAAATTAAGAACTACTTTGTTCTTAACACGAATAGTGCCAAATTTAGGATTACCAGCCTGTGTATTACCATATTATTTAACTTCTTAAAGGTGGTTATCATCATCCCATACGAGTAAGGATACTCTCTATTTTTTTACAACTATTTAATAAGAGGTATTTGGCTCATTCTTTGTGTGTTTAAATAAAAATCTATAAGCTTCACCAGTAAGTTATTTTTTAGTGAATAAGGACAATTTTACTTATCTAAAAGTATCTATAAGTTTGCATTCAATATAATTTTTCAACAGAATGGCTTTGGACTTCAATCATTGAGGGTTGGCAGGCATCAATTCTAAATGTTTTAAAAGATTCTATTCTAATAAACCTATATAGTTTTAACATTTTAATACTCATCAGCTTATTTCTGTTATTTTCCTTGAAATACTTTATGACACTTGCTGTTTGTAAATACTCAAAGTTGTTAAAATTGTGTAATCTAAAATCTCATACTGTTGTTTATTTATAAATGAATATATTTTATGCATATGTGTTGATAATACACTTTATGAGCCTCCTGCTATAATCAATTAAAGTGAAGGGATGCCTAATAAATGAAATGGATTAAGTTCATTCTAGAGAAGAATCATCAAATAGTGCTATCACCATATCCCACACACACTCACTAAGTAACCTTCAAATGCTATATTTTTAGGGATTTGTTGGCTATATTAGAAAGCTGTATTCACTGATAAATAACTGAGATAATTTGTATTCATTTATTTTATCCATGTCATTAACTCACCAAATAATGTGTTCCATATTTTAAAATATACTCTGGCTGTAAAACCAACACTTCAGGAGACCATAATCTCCAAGCATACCATGATCTGTATTACTCCTTTAATCAAGTTGTAACGCTGTCTCTATTTTGTCTTTAAATTTTTCAGTTTCCCACTCTATGAATGTTTCACATTTGCTTCTATTTTGAAGTTCTGTGTTTTCTGTGGTTTAGAAGTTAAATACTTCATCAGACTTAATGCAAAGAACTGAGAAACTATAAATAGTCCAAACAACAACTTTCCTGTTGAGTGTGAGCTTTTCTACTAATTTTAAGGCTTTGAGGGAAGGTTCGTTTTCTCAAGCTCTAGAATGTTTATAGCTACTACTCACATTAAGTGGGAGCTGACCTAAAAACTAGCATCAGGTATTCTGCACTCATAAGGATGAACAGGAGTTCTCAGCCCTGGAAGTGTGCAAAATCTTTGTAATGGAGAGATGGGTACTTCTCTATTGGATATTCCATGCATAATTTCATATCTCCACAACCTGTGGCTTCTTACAGATCACTCAGTGTAAATGTGCATAATATTTCTTGAATAACTGTGAATTGAGTGACTATTAGGTGATAGAGATAAATGGATAAGCACATTTTGAAATGGCTGATTAATTTCCGAGTGATATATTGTGTATGAAAATGGAAATTCTATGTGATAAAACAATTAGTATTTCTTACTATGTAATGCCTGTTTTAGGGGGAGAACAGGGGATAAGTTTTACTTTGATTGAGTCAGTTAACTTTTCTGTTACTTTTCACCTTGTAATGGGATTTCGAATTGAGGACCTAGATTTTAAAGTTCATGTGTGTGTGTGTGTGTTGACAATGAGACATTGACAAAATATTATCTTGAAAATATAATTTGATGATTTTGAGTTGACTCACTATGGAATTATAGATGTAGAGAAACTTTAAGCGTTATTTTTTGTCTATCTGGTTCCCTTTAGAGTCAAAGGAACAGATGATGATTCAGGTTCAGTAACCTGATGTAAGCCACACTTAATGGCAGAGCCTCAATTCTACCTCTAATCTTGCATTTTCCAGTTTTTTTTTTCTCCCCGTCTCTCCTTTTTTAATGTGTATTTTTTCTTTAATAAATATTTGTTGAGCTTTTGAACTCTTCTAGGCATTGAGGTTAATGGCAGTGGTCAAAATATAGAGAGCATTTCCTGCCCTCATGTGTTTATAGCCTAGTTAATTCTGTTCACTCCACATCATAGGCTTTTTATTTCTCCAAGATCCTAAAAGCATAAATTATTCAAATTTAAAAATTTTGATAGAAATATGGTAAGGATTTTCATTTCATCAGTGAGGTAAAATAAAATATGTAACAGACTTTTTAATGCTTTCATAATTAAAAATAGAAAGGGGAAATTTATGTATTGAGTATATTTTACCTATTGATGATGATGTACTTATCATCAATGAATATTTATTTATTTCATAGGTTTATGTACATATTTTATTAGTTTTATTTAAAAGTGTAAGGAAAAACATCTGTGAAAATAGTTTGCTATTTTTAAATTAAGTGTATTTATTAAGGGACATTTTGGAAAACATAAAGTAGAGAGAAAACAATAACATCATTTGAAGCTGATTGCTATAATTATTTAAATACATTCCCTTTTTGTCTTTTATCCCTTTTGATTTTTAACACAATGTGTCAATTGACAAATTAATAGCAATATGATATACTATATAGAACAACATAGAATAATAAAATGCAATATATTTTGGTTTTTATCAAGATTATTTTTCTTTAAGAAAATAAGAGGTAGATAATTCATTTAGTCCTGGAGTTTCACTTTCATTTTTATGTACTTTATGACAGCTTGACTCTAATCATATTTTTCTTTTTTAAAAATTTATCATTAGGAGATAAGCATTTTTTTGCATTTATTTCAAAAACTAATTTTAATTCTGTATGAATTAATGATAGGTAGATAATAGACAAGTTTCCATTGTTATTGGACATTTATTTATTTACTTATGCCAATCTGGGTTTGTGCTTAATAACACTACAATGAATATTACATGTATTGGTTCTCATTCTTTCGATTGATTCCCAGAGGTGAAATTAGTAATAAGTCAAAGGCATTTATTAATTTTATGGTTACTATACATAAAAATCAAATATTTGAAAACCAATGAGCACTTATAAATGGGTGAGAGGTTGTATTATGAGTGATCATTTGAGAACTGGTCACAGAAATGAAACATAAAGAAATATAATCCTTTTCTATCTGTTCAAAGACTTCCAGTTCCCCCTATAGAAAGAGTAACAATGATGATAGAGGAAAAGAAATAAGAGGTAGATCAAAGCAGCCCTTTTAAAGACCTGTTATTTTCATAGCACCATGGACTCTGATAATATAACACTTGTTGATCTCTTCTATTAAAAAATAATACATATAAATTATAGGACTAAATAAAATCTACCCATTATCCCATAATGCAGAGAGAACCTATCATTTTAATGCATTTGCTTTGTGCATATGCATGTTTCTGGCATATGGGATCAATGTATAAAATGCGGTCATACTATGTGTATGACTTACTATCCTGCTTTTATTATTTTACATAATGTGAACACTTCTCTGTTGCTTTTTTTCAATTTATTTAGTGGCTGCATAATATTCCATAATTTATTTATTCATTTATATTTGTCTTATTTCTACCTTTTTGGGTATAGTAAATATTAATTCAGTGAACAGTTTTTAAGTAAATTGGTAGTTCTAATAATATAATTAGAATTACTAATTTAAAGAGAATGCGATTTCTGAAATTTATCTGTGTAAGTGGAGGTAAATTTTTATACCTAAAGTCTCCTTTAGGTTATCACGATGCTCTGTAGCCTTTCACACATTATTTGGGTCTCAGATCTATAATTATTCTTTTTTGGACAAATTTATAGCTATCAGATGGTAGTTGAGTTGTCAGTTTCACGAACTAAAAGAAATTTTTGAGGGTTCAGAAACAAGTGAAATTACTCAATATTAAATAAATGTCCATTATGCTTATTTTGTGCTGACCATGTGATTACATGGTGATTTTAATCACCTCCTCAATAATAACTGAGAATGCTTTAGTGCCTTGTAATTCTCTAAGGATGTCCAAACTGCGTGTGTGGGCAAATAATCTATGATCTCTCTCTCTCTCTCTTTCACACACACACACGCGCACACGCACACGCACACGCACACGCACACGCACACTTCTATGGTTACATGTTATGTTTTCTTGCTGGTGGTCTGGCTGGCCTGACTTTGGTCTTCAGGATGAGAACAGATATTTGCAGAAAGAGTAAGTCTTTGGCAGACTACCTGTAAGAAGATTTTCCCACCTGCCTATGCCAGGGGCTTTTACCGAGCTGCCTCAATAGGAAGGGCAACTAGGTACTCTTGATTTGGGATGATGAATTGTTGACTTGAGGTCACCAATTGGAATGAACACTGCAGTGTATAGTAGACTTGTATGTGATTGCTGGAATTTTAAAAAAGACACCCACATTTGACTACAGTAGGGCGTTCTTCATGGAACTGTTCATGGCATAACACATCTGGGTCTCCACGTTTACCCAACTCAGTTCCTTAGGCTCCGTAATTGTGTATGTGAGCTCTTGGGCTGCACCCTGAAGACTTGTATAAGTTTGACTTAGTAGAGCGAGAAGAGCATCCTTGGAGACTAAGTCGTGGTAAGTTTTAGTCTGTCCGGAGCACAAAGCTTAGTTGCTGAATAATGTATGTTTAATATATGTTGAATCAGTTCCAGATTTATAAAGGTTGTAACAGTAGATCTTGTATATTGTATTTTACTGTCATCTGTACCAGAAGGGACAGAAGGGATGAAACTAAAAAAAAATATCCCTTGCTTCTTTTGGTCAGAATGGGATAAGTCAAGGTGGCAGAAGATAATGAAACTTTGTTAAAATGAGGTTTTTGGTTTCTCCATCTGATCTCACTTATTCATATCACTCCAGATTTCAGGGTGAATGCTTCATATATTCTGTAAAAGTGGTGTAAATTGTTATGTGTACAGATGGGGTCCCACACTCTGGCTTGAAGTTATCCTAGGAGATCAATACCATATATGAAACAGAATAAAAATAGTAGTTAGCATAGTTACTATCCTAACTAGTGTAGATGCTTGAATGCATATCTTATACTATTTTTCAGGGAAAGGTGATGTGTTTGGAGACATCTTCTGGAAGGAAACCACCCTCGCTCACGCGTGTGCCAATGTCCGGGCACTGACATACTGTGACCTTCACATCATCAAGCGAGAAGCCTTGCTCAAAGTCCTGGATTTTTACACGGCGTTTGCAAACTCATTCTCAAGGAATCTCACTCTTACTTGCAATCTAAGGAAACGGGTATGTTTTCTGGATCCACTTCCCCTTTTATTATCCAGAGGGATACTATGTCATGCTTTATTAGTGGAGGTTGGAAAGTTATTTAATTTTCAGTACATTCCCAGCAATGTGAAGTGACATCATTTTCTTTCCCCTTATTTATCTTTTGTTTACTTTTTAAGGGGGAATAGCACCTGAATATATGGATAAAGATTTGAACCATTACAATTTAAGATGCAAAATGAAAAACAGACTTGAGGAAAAGCAAACAAGCTATACTATAATATAATTAGTTAGTTCTCGGGGTTTATAACTGCTAAAATTACTATTAGTGAATCTTTCTCTATTATGTGGGTTTTTTAAAGCTGGTAAGTTTAATAAAACTGGTTGTCTATTATGTACTCCTGTTTCATTTTAAAATTTTTTTATTGATGAGTGAGTGAGAGAGAGAGAGAGAGAGACCGAGCATTCATTGGTTGCTTCTTATATGTGCCCTGACTGGAGATTGAACCTGCAAACTTGGTGTTATTGGGACAACACTCTAACTAAGCTACCTGGTTATGGCCTGATTCACTCTAAAACGTCCTTCTGCATTAATTCTTATTTCCCATTAATTCTTTCCAAGCACACTATCTCTAAAATAATTATCCACACTGACATGTCCTACAAATAGGTATAAGGATTTTTTTACTTTGCACTGCTGATGCAAATATAATCTTCATTGCCATTTTATTTTTTTATTGATGGTGTGACACATATTTAATTTGCATAAAGAAATCTCCTACATCTGATTTGTAGGTCCTTGGACATTAGATAAGGCTCTTTTATTGCCAAGGATGAAATACACATTTGGATAACTGCACGGAAGGAATTTCATATAAAATGATTGCCTGTCAACTGTGGTGAAATATTTTGAAATAACAAGCCTTCCCTTCTACCCCATTACACAGAACCTTCCCTGTAGTTAACATGGAGGAAAAAAGTCAATTCAAGAGACAAATTAACTTCTCTACCGTAGGAACAGAGAAATGACAATAAGCAAATCAATGTAATTCCCTAATCCAGGTTCTAAAGGAGAATAAGGCTGCAGCAGTCATATTCATACTAGCTGTGTCACAATATTTTCTTCTGTCCTTGAATAGCATTTCTGGTCTCTATTTTTGTTAGCAAATAGTTATTGAGCATCCACAGCCTGCAAGACAAAATGTAAAGAGCTGTCAGCAGCACAGAGACTAAACACAGAGTCTTTATGTCAAGGAGCCTGCAGTCAACTGTGATTATTATGTGAAACAAATTTGGGAAACATCTATTTGTGCAAGCAATTGAAAGTTAAGGTAGTGATGAATGTGGGAGAGAGGTACCATATATAAACTAAAGGTTGCTTATGTGTTAGGGAGCTCGGAGTCCCTTTAAGTATTAAGCAAAATTATGTCTCCTTTGGTGTATGCTCTACCTTCTCCAATGAAAGATACCTTCTCTACAAGGCAGTCTGTTAGATATTTGAAGCTCTTATATTTTAAGTCTTTTACAATCTAAGTTTTGCTCGTTTTGGAATCTTTTCACTTACTGCAAGATTATCACAACTCCTATCTATGTTGTTACCGTCCTTGTTACGGTGATCTTATTTGCCACGGTCCTCCTCAAAGCATGTTGTTTACACAGACTCTCATCTGATGTTTATCATATTCCTGTGGGGAAAATAGGGCCATGTTTTCTCTTCAAAACACACAAGGAAGGAAACTCAGCCCCAGAGGGATTAATATCTAATCAATAATTGATATATTTACAATGCATAGACAGATAATTAAGAACTCACCAAGAGAAAATAAATTTTGGTTCTTCAAAATGAATTCATCACAAAGCTCTGTTGTCCCTTTTTCTCCTTCATACATCTGAGCACGTGCTTATCACACACTCACACATGTGCACACACACACACACGTGTGTACACATACACACAGGTTGTAAGAGTTGCGTGTACATACCAGCTTGGTTGCCTCTGATAGAAAGAGAAGCTAGGGACAAAATCAAGTAGTTTTTGTAAGGAGATCCGAGAAAATATACTCCAGTGATTCATGAGAATAGTTACCATTTTGAGAGCCTATTTTATAGCCAGGTACTTCAACATATTTTACATATAATAACTAACCTTATTAAATGTCAACTACCCACAGAAAACAAAACCCTGTGTAATCTATTTTGTCGATGAGGAAGTAGACACACTCTCAACAATTTACAGTTTCTCGTTCATTCAATTATTCCCAAATGAGCTACTAATAAAAAATATTTTACTCTTATAGCTATTATTGTAAGGTTTCTTGCAATTAACATTTGTTGTGAATTGTATAATAAAACTATGTCTTTAGTGTGCTACTAACATCTCATAGCTGTCTTAACCATACTTAAAGGTGTGCTTCGAGTAAATTGGTGGATCCTATTATGAGAGCCCTGATTTAGAGCCATCACTGGGTACAGTTCTGACCACATGAGCAGATCCAGTGGCTGAGTGAGAGGCTTGTATGGTGTTCTTGGTGGCTGCCACAGGGAGGCATGCCACAGTGCTTTAGCTGCTTGCCTTTATCCCCATTGAGGAAAAATAATATTTTTATTTTGCAAATATAGGTCTCACTAAAAATCCTTAAGCCGCTTTATATAAAACTGGTAATTTCATCCAACAACCAGAGCAGGGGTTGGCAAGCTTTTCTGTCAAAGACCAGGATTTGAGGGCCGTATGGTTTCTGTCTCACTACTCACTGTTGCCACAGCAGAGTGACAGCAGCTGCCTTAGCTTGGGCAGCCATCACAAAGTAACACAGACTGGGGGCCTTAAACAGCCGGAATTTATTTCTTACAGCTTGACCTCTGTAAGTCACCTTTCTCTGGAATGCCAAAACGGTGTTTATTAAGGACCAGCCCTTATGTATGGGTCTGAGAAAGCAAGCAGCACACCCAGTAGGTGATATCTAAATTTTAAAGGATTCTAACCGGACTTTTAAAGCAGTTTTTGCACTTTTGCTCATTCCGCCTAGTGCTTATACAGTGCTGTTTACCATTTGTGTAAAGGAATTAACACAGCAGGTGTGACTGCTGTGCTTTGAAAGACCTGCTTGTGCAGTGGGCCCTTGGCTGGCATCTGGGAACTTGAATTTCAAGAAGGTTCCCCAAACTGATAAGAGTGGCTCACTGTGCCCAACTATTTATTCAATCAGTGTGGTTTATGCTTAGCATTTACTTCCAGGAATCTGGCTTTGGTGTGTGCCAGGCATGTGACCAGCTTCCAATAACAATGCTGGAGACCATGTTCCTAGTGCGCCTTCCTGGTGGCGACTTTCCCAAGTGTCAGGACTTGTTGCTGAAGGAATAGAAAGAGGATCTTTGGAGGTTTGTGCTTAGTGGCCCCTGGACTTCACCCAGCCACTGTTTCCCTTTGCTAAGTTTGCTTTGTATCCTTATGCTATAGAAAGTCAAAGCCGTGACTATATGCTAAATTCTGTGAGTCCTCTTACTCTTAGCAAATCATCCAACCTGGGTGTGCACCATTTATAAAGGTTGATGAGAAATCTGTATTCTTATCAAATCTGCAGATATTTTAGTAATTTCACCATAACCCTTTCCCCATAAAAGATGCTGACACCTACTGAAAGTATGCTTTGTGAGTATAGAAGAAAGAAGTATTAAAAAGTTGGTGGGTATATTTGTTCACAAGGCTGTCAGCAATATTCCATTTCTTTGAAACCGAAAATAAATGCTACATTAGCACTTCTAACAACATTAAATGGGGCTGGGAATTTTTATTATTTCTAAGTATTTTCTTCACTTTCAAAATAGCCCGAACATATTTTCCTCCAGAATGACTGTTTAATAGGATGAGTGAAGAGTTTTATTTTTTATTTTCTATACCTCTTCTGGTGAGACACTTTGATAAAGTGTGGCACAGAGAGTATTGGCTGGCTCAGTATATGTTCAGTATACAACCATCACGCTCCTACTCTGTGACTATGGGGTTATGGAGGTAAAAGGCCAAGTGCCTGCTCTTCAGGGGCCTGCAATCTAGTGAGTCAGGTGAAAACATCATACTAGAGTCAGATATGAGAGGGGTACCCTCAGGGCACCAAGGGGGCATAGAGGAAATGAGTCTAATTCATCCCAGGAGATAGGCAGGGATTCCAGGAGGTGATGCAATGCTGGAGTTAGAATTTTATTTCAAACAGAGAAATATTCTAGAGCAAGGAAGGATCTTGCAGATTGTCTAGGTCCAATCTATTTTCTTTAAAGATGAGAGAACTGAGACCCAGAGAATTGCATGATTTGCTCAAGTTCACTTAGGTAATTAGCAGCAGAGGTGGGGCTGGAATCCAAGTCCTTTTAATCCCATGCTGGCTGTATTTCTGCTGTTCAGCCCAGATTAGAAGCCTTATGTAGAAGATTGTGAGTAAAATACAATACTGAATTGTGTTCATTTTTAATAGGGAAGAAGAAAAGTATATGGTATGAGTTTGTATTAGATTCATAGTTTGATCTTAGTGTTTTGCACACTGATTCAGAATAAAACTAATAGTGGAGCCAAAAAAGAAAGCTGTACGTAGTGTTCAGAGTGCTTTCAAGACTCCCAGGCTCAGCATGAGCCATTGTATATGGTATGGCCACAGCAGGTTATGTCACTTTCATTATGAAAGGTCTTGTTTTAGTAAAAGCATGTAACTTACATATAGTATTGTTCAAGTGATATTACTGAATATGGAAAATCTGGCTTTGCTGATACTACTGTGTTCTGATGTACTCCTTGCTAATCGTTTTAAGAACTATTCTGACTGCTGCATCACCTACTATAAGCATTTATAAAAAGAAATTTTCTCACATTAAACAAAACCCCAATTTTTTATCTTTGTTTTTTGTTATTTTTTGAGGTTAGCATTTTCACATTAGAAATTATGAAAAAAAATTGGCAAATTTACTGCCAAATGTAGCAATTATGAGTACTAAAATTTTGTTAATTTTTTTT